ACTGCCATTAACCCTGAAATTGGCTCTATAAGCGAGCTGACTTCTCTGATGGAACGAGCACATAGAAAAGGTGACCTCACTCGTTTACTATGATGGTTTTCGAAATAAAATATCAACCTCGTCGTCACATATTGATCTTTTTTGAAATCACTAAATAAATCACTGGAATAGACCTTATCATTAAAGGGATAGTTCACTTTAAATTTAATTTTTGATATGTTTTAGCTTACCTCAAGGGCATCCAAGATCGTATCTATCAATCATATAATGGAGGTCTATGGTCACCACCTTAAAGAGCATGCACAGAGAAGTCAAAATTAAACATGATTTAATAGTACACATTGATGGCCTAAGACACGAAACGAGCGGTTTGTGTGAGAAAACGAACTGTATTTATATCGTTTTTACCTCTTGTAACCACAGCCACGTCCAAGTGATCTGAGGGCGCGGGCGGTAAAAACAAGAGGTAAAAACGATATAAATACTGTTAATTTTCACACACAAACCGCTCGTTTCGTGTCTTAGGCCATCAATGTGTACTTGCATTTACGAGTCATTAAATCATGTTTAATTTGGACTTCTCTGTGCATGCTCTTTGAGGTGGTGACCATAGACCTCCATTATATGACTGACAGACAAGAACGGTTTGACCTAAAAATATCAAAATTGAAAATACTGCGGAAACAAAGACACCTACATCTTGGATGCCCTTGAGGTAAGATAAAACATATTAAAAATTAATTTCAAAGTGAACTATCCCTTTAAGATCCTGCGGCTCTGTGTTAGGGGAAGGCTGTCTGAAACTGCCAGTTTAACCTATGCAGCATAAAAGTTTTTTTCATACAATTAGCGTCTTTATTTTAACTAGTTCCTTATATTAAAAATATATAGATATATACAGAACTTAATCACGTCACAAACTATCTGTATGTTCCCCTGGCAGTTTATGGATAGATATTGTACCATTTTTAGAGTCTTCACACTGACAGTAAATCAAACACCGTTGTGTGGATTTAGCAGGAACATCACTGTGTGTATTTCCTGAAAATAAAGGCATCATACAATGCAAACATTAGGCTTTTGGTTTTGTCAGGAAGGATAAACTCAGGAAAGGTCATTTAACAGCCTCCTGGTTTGTTAACTCCCCCCCCCCCTCTCCTTGTTTTCCTCTCTCCCTCTCAGGAATCTCCATAGTGCTGGATCTGACACCCAATTATGAAGGGGTTTCAGCCTGGTTCAACAATGCTGCTACTGTTGCTGAGCGACTCAAAGTAAGTGCTGATAAGGAAGAGGGGAGATTTACTGATGAGAGAAAAGCCAACAAGATTTTGAGATGTATAAAGAGACTAAGCAGGGAAGGAAAATATCAGCATAGCAGTTTACTACCGTTCAAAAGTCTGGGGTCACTTTAAATCATATTCAAGTTAAAGGAGTAGTTCACTTTAAAAAAAAAAAAACTTTTGCTGATAATTTACTCACCCCCATGTCATCCAAGATGTCCATGTCTTTCTTTCTTCAGTCCAAAAGAAATTAAGGTTTTTGATGAAAACATTCCAGCATTTTTCTCCATATAATGGACTTCAATGGGAACCAAACGGTTCAAGGTCCAAATGACAGTTTCAGTGCAAACTGCTCAAAGGGCTTTAAATGATTCCAGACGATGAATCAAGCGAAACGATCGCTCATTTAATAAATAAATAACAAAGTGCAAATGGTCGCCTTGCTCTGTTCTGTGATGCGCGTTCGTGACTCTCCTGTTCAAACTTTTTATCTCTCCTGTTTATCAAAATGAACGAATCTTTTTTCGTGTCATTTGGTTCATTCAACGAACGAAATGAACGAGTTGACTCTGGAAAAGATTTGTTCATTTTGATGATTGAGTTCGAACAGAAGAGTCACGAACGCACATCAGAACAGAGCACTTTGTTATTTATTTATTAAATGAGCGATCATTTCGCTTGATAAGACCCTCATTCATCGCCTGTAATCGTTTAAAGCCCTTTGAACAGTGGACAAAAGAGATGATTTTAAGACCAGTGTAAACAGGAATTTGCAATTACATGAAGAAAATCTATAAAAACAGACAGCAGTTTTGTTTTGTTTTTAAATTTGAAATACTATATCACAATATTACTGTTTTTACGGTATTTTTGATCAAATAAATAAAAAATGCAGATGAAACTCCTGACCCCAAACTTTTGAACGGCAGTGTAAATGGAAACTAAGAAAGTGTATTCAGTACTCATTTATTTGATCCATTCATTCTATGGCTTCATTGTAGGAAGCATGCGTATACTGGCTCAGTAAGGGGGTGGATGGCATCATCTTGTCTCATCTGAACGACATCGCAAACACCGAAGCCTGGCCGTCTATTCAAGACATATTCAACCAAACTGACGGCACCAAAAAAACGTATGTGAACCAATATGGGGTCAGAACTCTGTTGGGGAAATAGAACTAGTTAAACAGAGACACCTGGTGGACAGAATGGGGTATTGCGGCTCACAGCGAGTGAATAGAAAACTTCCAGAATTTCCAGAGTACTGTGTTTCCCCTTACTCAAATCTCTCTCTCTGTCTCCTGCTCACTGTCAGAGCTCTGATGGGATCAGTCACCGGTCTCTCTGTGGAGGACGTCTCTCTCCTGTTGAACCGCTCAGGTGTTGACCTGCTCCTGACTGAACTGGCTGCTCCGGCTGGGTCCGGCGTGAGACAGGCACAGGCGATACAGAAGCTGTACTCTGGTCACCTGCAGACGAGTCTGGGCTGGAGTCTGAGTCGGTCTCTGGGATCTCCAGCGGTGCCAGTCAGGCTCTTTCACACACTGCTGTTCACACTGCCCGGCACTCCTGTGTTCAGCGCTGGAGACGAGATCGGACTCAAGGCAGGGGTGAGTGGAGCATGCAATGAAAATCAAGCAAGATGTCTATAAACCTTTACTTTATTCATGACGTTGACATAATTAAACCCATACAGGAGAAGATTCAAGCAATGTGGGACTTGGAAAGTAAAGCAGAAGATGCCAATGTAACGGCAAAGGTATATAGCATTATTTCACGTTTCTGTTCATATCACTGTAGCAAATGCACATTTTAAAAACACACACTGTTGTTCCTCTGACTCAGGCTGTACAGGAAGAGCACACCACATTGCGTGGCTTCTTCAAAGCGCTCAGTGATCTGAAAGGAAAAGAGCGATCGCTTCTCCACGGAGAATATGTCAGTCTCCACAGTTCAGCCACTTCATTAGCATTTCTCCGCCTTTGGGATCAGAGCGAGCGCTTCCTGGTCGCCTTAAACTGGGGAAACGACTCAGTCACCATGACTCTGAGCGATAGTGACCTGCCGGCTCAAGCTCGGGTCCGCGCAACCACAGATGCTGAGAATCTAGCCGTGGATCGGAAGGTGTCAGTAGAGAAGCTGGAGCTTGGGCCCAAACAGGCCGTTCTGTTGTCTTATCCTTATGCTGGTTAGAAACACACACACAGACAGTCCTTAATGTTTTAGATCAGAGTCAGCACTGTGCACATGTTTGGAAAGGCGAGTAGAAAAGATTTTATTGATGTTATAGGAATGATTTTAGAGGCACTAATTTTGAAGCAATGAAAAGCCAATTGTCACAGTTGTTGTAGAATAGAGGATGGTCTCCATACAGAGACATGTAGATCTAAAACCCCTGATATAATAAAAACAAAAAATGGCTACTGTTTTTGTGTGAAACTGTCTACTTTACTGCACTGGTGTGGTTAATGCTTACAGTATATCAAAAGAAAGTTGTTCAGTCTTGAATTTATTTACTTATTTTTTGTAGCAGACCATAATTCCTCATTTTAATCATAAAGCAGGAAATATGGATAGAAATATCTTCCCAGCAAACAAATTTAGGTTCTGAGAACATTCCGGGAACGTTAGGTTTTGGTTTCCCTTATGGTTTCTGTAACGTTCTCCTTGCGTTATAAAAATGGAACCTAAAAATAACCTACATGGAACGTTCCTTTAACGTTCTTGTTTGGTTCCCCAAAAAAATAACCTCATGGGACCATTCGGGAACATTAGGGGAACATTCTGTGTTTGATGTGTTGACCAGATATTTAAATTATATTGATTATTAAAACAAGACTTTACTTTGTAGATACAATATACAAAGTTAACAGCAAAATCTTCCATGCATATTTCCATATTTAAACACCAAAGTACACTACAATTCATATGATTGAATTGTAAGATTTAAAAGAAAAAGTTTTTTTTTTTTTTTTTTCAGACCAATCAGCTGTGGCCTGCGGACCTGCGCCATCTAGAGTTTCATGACAGAACTTTGTATTTTAAATAAATTATTCTTAAACATTTTATTCATCAAAAAATCCCAGAAAAAAATAGAACATGGTTTATATCTATCTACTATCTATCTTTTAACCCCTTACCTGTCACCCCCTACATGTCTTGTAAAAACCAAAACAATATTATTATTATTTCTTTTTTTATAATACTTAACGGATAAAGATAAGCCTACAGAATAATAGTAAAACATCTGATAGTATACTTTGTCTATTTCATATACTTTGTGTTTCTTGACAAGACTGTGTTTTCTTGTTTTCAGTATGTTCCAGGTAAAGAATTAAACTAAACTTTACCATAACTGTTATGTTCATGCATAGGCCTACAATTTATATCTCCCCAAAAAAGTTATTACAATACTTTAAAGAAAACTAGTGACCTACATTGGAATGAAGCACAATTCTGTCTTACAACAACACACCGACTCCTCAAAGCCTAACAGAAACAATAAACACGCTTGAGATAAAAACAGAGCAACTCCATCTGGTTGTAGCGTGAGTGTGTGTGTGTGTGTGTGAATATGTGTGTGTGTTTAAAAGCGGGTTCTGGAGATCAGGATCAGACAGGCTTAGGAAGGTCCACCCAAGCCCCTGCAGCGCATCTGTGAACCTCAGGACCCCGTACAGAGCTGAGAAAACAAACCGCACTCCTCAGACTCTTCCTCTTCCCCTCAGCTGCTATTGTTCATCTTAAACTGAGGGAACTCTGAGAACGTTTACATATTCCTGTAATAGAAAAAACAGCTCTGTCAGGTTCTGTCTTGGGGGTAAGTGCATTAAAAGCAAGTGTTTGTGTGAATAGGTTTGCTTAGGTATGCTTACACTGCCCGACCAAAATAAGATAAAAAGTCGTTGTTTGTGCATACAAAAGTAACACGTGACATTTAAACACGTATTTTATTAAGTTGCTTGTATTTTCTGTGATTTATTCGGTTCTGAATAATATAATAATATATATTAATATAATATTCAGAGTCCAAATTAAAAAAAAAAAACGTTGTTATTCAAAATTTGAAAAAATGGACTTCGTCTCAAGCCCTCATTTAAACACGTAGTTTTATTAAGTTGCTTGTATTTTCTGTGGTTAATTCGGTTCTGTATCGTCACTCATGTGTTGTGTGTACTTGTTGGCTTTTAGGGGCGGGAACAGATGAAGTCGTCTTCATAAAAGTGAACTGACCTCCAAACCAGTGTGTTCTGTCCGACAACCCTGAGGACGACTCGCCTGAACTCTACACAGATTTCTAACTGAGCAATTCAGGTATTTTTGTTTTTGTATTATTTATTTGATTATTATAGTTTAATTCTGTTATCAAAGCTATAATGTACTACAGAAGTTATGCAGCTGCCGTTATTATAACTATACTTGATTTACAGTCACTCTATGTTGCTTTGTATTGTTAAAAATAATTTTATGGTCTGTTCATTATTAAACTTTTATGGCTGCCTATAGTGAATAAACGCAGTTCACAGTATGGTAACCATTTCTTGCCTGAAATGTAATGAATTTGTAGTAACTAATAGTTTTTGCTTTGTATGTTTATATTCAGTATTTTGACATAAACTAACATAGAGAAAAGAAATGAGGGACGTAGAACTGAAGGAGGTGGATCAGGCAAAACGGCTAATGACCCGAGAAAACAACGGCTGTGTGAAGGTCACGGTCCCGGAGAACGCTGGAGTGAAGTATGGCCTCTCCAAAGACGAGTTAATCCAAATCGCTGGTACAGCTGGGTACGTACGCTATCTATCTATCTATCTATCTATCTATCTATCTATCTATCTATCTATCTATCTATCTATCTATCTATCTATCTATCTATCTATCATTTGCATATTTTCACCAGGTGGGTTCGGACTCGTTGGGCTTTGCTGGTTCTGTTCTGGCTCGGCTGGGTCGGCATGTTAGCTGGAGCAATAGTGATCATAGTACAGGCTCCACGCTGTAAACCCATTCCTGAGATGAACTGGTGGAACGAAGGTCTTCTGTACCAGATATCTGATATCAACGCTTTCTCCGACAAAGGACTGAAAGGTGAGATGAATGGAAATATCTTCTTTTTTCATCCCCCACGTCTATGTGTATTATTTGAATAACAATTATAAATCCATAGAGAAATCACAGCATAAAAAAAAAATAATTATATTTTCTATGTTTGTTTTTATCTTATGATGTTTAGATTTTATTTGTTTATTGGATCAGCCTTGTTTTACAGTATATTATAGAATTGCAACGCAAACAACACATTAGGGCTGTCAAAATGGCTGAAAAACTAAATTTGAACTGTAGCTATACCTAAATATTACTAATATTTAAATTATATTCTAATATAAAAAGCATAATTTCAGTTAGGGTGAAAAAAACATTTCTCCTGAGGCCACAAGAGGGCGCAATGATCAAAATATTAATCCAATATAATTTAGAAAATTTCATCTAACCCCCTCAGACCTGAATTATGTTTCAAGTTTCTAAAAAAATATAAGAGTACATTTTTCCAGCTCATGAGGTTTCTATAAATTAAAACAAATGAAAAAAAATTATATAATTGCTTTCATTGTGATTTTTTTTTTTGTCCATTCCAATGGACATCAAGTCAAAACAGGTGTACTTCCCAAAAATGTAGCAACATGAAATAAGTTAATAAACATAAAATTTGATGGTCTAGAGTCATTTTTTAGAACAAAAAATTGAACATTATAACTTTATAACACGCCCACGACCCCCCCCGGGGGGCTGACGGGAGGAGCCCGAAGTTTCGGGACCCCCGAGGCAGTTCCGCAAAAGCCCCCTCGGTGGAGCCACCCTCGAAACGTCCCCACTGACCGGTTCCCGGACACGCCCCCGTCCCACAAACCCACTATTTGTCCAATAACCCACTATATTTCTCAAATGTCATGGGACTACCCCCCGCCCACTCCCGGGCCACGCCCCCGTCCCACGAACCCACTATTTGTCCAATAATTCACTATATTTACCAAATGTCCCAGGACCACTCCCGGGCTACACCCCCGTCCCACGAGCCCACTATTTGTCCAATAACCCACTATATTTTTTAAAGTTTTTCTGCAGTTCATTCAATATGCTGCAATTGGACGCGGGGATTGAATGGGGATTCGGGTAGTGTTTTTGATAGACATTTTAATTAAAGTTCCTGTCATGATAAAAACTATTTTACTGCACTCAGGGGGGCCCCCTGAGTCTGTGGTACCAAGCGCCATCCCATAATTCCACCGTCCACAAACCCACTATTTTTATAATGGCATAAATGCTACATGGGATGTCCATATCTCAGCTCTGAAAGGGTCTAGAGCCTCCATTTTTGCACTCAGGTCTAAGTCCCATGGCCCTCTATCAGAAACTTCTGATAGAAAAAATGTTGAGAGAAACTCAAAATTTCGACCCCCCAAAAAAACCCCGACAGTGTTACCCCTGTCGTTTTTTTTTTTGGTGCGAAAAAATAAGTTTCTCCAATCTTCTTGAAACTCTGGATTCTGATAGAGGGCCAAGAGACTTAGACCTGAGTGCAAAAATGGAGGCTCTAGACCCTTCTAGAGCTGAGATATTGAGATATTTATAATGGCAAAAATGCTACATGGGATCTCAATATCTCAGCTCTGGAAGGGTCTAGAGCCTCCATTTTTGCACTCAGGTCTAAGTCCCATGGCCCTCTATCAGAATCTAGAGTTTCAAGAAGATCAGAGAAACTCAAAAATTCAGCCCGAAAAAAAACGACAGTGGTACGTACCCCTTTCGTTTTTTTTTATTGAGCGAAAAATTAAGTTTCTCCAATCTTCTCAAAACTCTGGATTCTGATAGAGGGCTGTGAGACTTTGACCTGAGTGCAAAAATGGAGGCTCTAGACCCTTCCAGAGCTGAGATATCGAAATTCAAAATTTCGACCCGAAAAAAAAACGACAGTGTTACCCCTTTCGTTTTTTTTCTTTTTCGGCCAAAAAATTAAGTTTCTCCAATATTCTCAAAACTCTGGATTATGATAGAGGGCTGTGAGACTTTGACCTGAGTGCAAAAATGGAGGCTCTAGACCCTTCCAGAGCTGAGATATCGAAATTCAAAATTTCGACCCGAAAAAAAAACGACAGTGTTACCCCTTTCGTTTTTTTCATTTTTGGGCGAAAAATTAAGTTTCTCCAATCTTCTCAAAACTCTGGATTATGATAGAGGGCTGTGAGACTTTGACCTGAGTGCAAAAATGGAGGCTCTAGACCCTTCCAGAGCTGAGATATCGAAATTCAAAATTTCGACCCGAAAAAAAAAACGACAGTGTTACCCCTTTCGTTTTTTTCGTTTTGGGCGAAAAATTAAGTTTCTCCAATCTTCTCAAAACTCTGGATTATGATAGAGGGCTGTGAGACTTTGACCTGAGTGCAAAAATGGAGGCTCTAGACCCTTCCAGAGCTGAGATATCGAAATTCAAAATTTCGACCCGAAAAAAAAACGACAGTGTTACCCCTTTCGTTTTTTTCGTTTTGGGGCAAAAAATTAAGTTTCTCCAATCTTCTCAAAACTCTGGATTATGATAGAGGGCTGTGAGACTTTGACCTGAGTGCAAAAATGGAGGCTCTAGACCCTTCCAGAGCTGAGATATCGAAATTCAAAATTTCGACCCGAAAAAAAAACGACAGTGTTACCCCTTTCGTTTTTTTCGTTTTTGGGCGAAAAATTAAGTTTCTCCAATCTTCTCAAAACTCTGGATTATGATAGAGGGCTGTGAGACTTTGACCTGAGTGCAAAAATGGAGGCTCTAGACCCTTCCAGAGCTGAGATATCGAAATTCAAAATTTCGACCCGAAAAAAAAACGACAGTGTTACCCCTTTCGTTTTTTTTCGTTTTCGGGCGAAAAATTAAGTTTCTCCAATCTTCTCAAAACTCTGGATTATGATAGAGGGCTGTGAGACTTTGACCTGAGTGCAAAAATGGAGGCTCTAGACCCTTCCAGAGCTGAGATATCGAAATTCAAAATTTCGACCCGAAAAAAAAACGACAGTGTTACCCCTTTCGTTTTTTTTTCGTTTTCGGGCGAAAAATTAAGTTTCTCCAATCTTCTCAAAACTCTGGATTATGATAGAGGGCTGTGAGACTTTGACCTGAGTGCAAAAATGGAGGCTCTAGACCCTTCCAGAGCTGAGATATCGAAATTCAAAATTTCGACCCGAAAAAAAAAACGACAGTGTTACCCCTTTCGTTTTTTTTCGTTTTCGGGCGAAAAATTAAGTTTCTCCAATCTTCTCAAAACTCTGGATTATGATAGAGGGCTGTGAGACTTTGACCTGAGTGCAAAAATGGAGGCTCTAGACCCTTCCAGAGCTGAGATATCGAAATTCAAAATTTCGACCCGAAAAAAAAACGACAGTGTTACCCCTTTCGTTTTTTTCGTTTTTGGGCGAAAAATTAAGTTTCTCCAATCTTCTCAAAACTCTGGATTATGATAGAGGGCTGTGAGACTTTGACCTGAGTGCAAAAATGGAGGCTCTAGACCCTTCCAGAGCTGAGATATCGAAATTCAAAATTTCGACCCGAAAAAAAAACGACAGTGTTACCCCTTTCGTTTTTTTTCGTTTTGGGCGAAAAATTAAGTTTCTCCAATCTTCTCAAAACTCTGGATTATGATAGAGGGCTGTGAGACTTTGACCTGAGTGCAAAAATGGAGGCTCTAGACCCTTCCAGAGCTGAGATATCGAAATTCAAAATTTCGACCCGAAAAAAAAAACGACAGTGTTACCCCTTTCGTTTTTTTCGTTTTTGGGCGAAAAATTAAGTTTCTCCAATCTTCTCAAAACTCTGGATTATGATAGAGGGCTGTGAGACTTTGACCTGAGTGCAAAAATGGAGGCTCTAGACCCTTCCAGAGCTGAGATATCGAAATTCAAAATTTCGACCCGAAAAAAAAACGACAGTGTTACCCCTTTCGTTTTTTTCGTTTTTGGGCGAAAAATTAAGTTTCTCCAATCTTCTCAAAACTCTGGATTATGATAGAGGGCTGTGAGACTTTGACCTGAGTGCAAAAATGGAGGCTCTAGACCCTTCCAGAGCTGAGATATCGAAATTCAAAATTTCGACCCGAAAAAAAAACGACAGTGTTACCCCTTTCGTTTTTTTTCGTTTTCGGGCGAAAAATTAAGTTTCTCCAATCTTCTCAAAACTCTGGATTATGATAGAGGGCTGTGAGACTTTGACCTGAGTGCAAAAATGGAGGCTCTAGACCCTTCCAGAGCTGAGATATCGAAATTCAAAATTTCGACCCGAAAAAAAAACGACAGTGTTACCCCTTTCGTTTTTTTTCGTTTTCGGGCGAAAAATTAAGTTTCTCCAATCTTCTCAAAACTCTGGATTATGATAGAGGGCTGTGAGACTTTGACCTGAGTGCAAAAATGGAGGCTCTAGACCCTTCCAGAGCTGAGATATCGAAATTCAAAATTTCGACCCGAAAAAAAAACGACAGTGTTACCCCTTTCGTTTTTTTCGTTTTCGGGCGAAAAATTAAGTTTCTCCAATCTTCTCAAAACTCTGGATTATGATAGAGGGCTGTGAGACTTTGACCTGAGTGCAAAAATGGAGGCTCTAGACCCTTCCAGAGCTGAGATATCGAAATTCAAAATTTCGACCCGAAAAAAAAACGACAGTGTTACCCCTTTCGTTTTTTTTCGTTTTTGGGCGAAAAATTAAGTTTCTCCAATCTTCTCAAAACTCTGGATTATGATAGAGGGCTGTGAGACTTTGACCTGAGTGCAAAAATGGAGGCTCTAGACCCTTCCAGAGCTGAGATATCGAAATTCAAAATTTCGACCCGAAAAAAAAACGACAGTGTTACCCCTTTCGTTTTTTTCGTTTTTGGGCGAAAAATTAAGTTTCTCCAATCTTCTCAAAACTCTGGATTATGATAGAGGGCTGTGAGACTTTGACCTGAGTGCAAAAATGGAGGCTCTAGACCCTTCCAGAGCTGAGATATCGAAATTCAAAATTTCGACCCGAAAAAAAAACGACAGTGTTACCCCTTTCGTTTTTTTTCATTTTC